AAAAATCTGAAATTTTTGATGGGTCTGGGGTGTGCAAAAAAATCTGAAATTTAAAAAATCTGAAATTTTTGATGGGTCCAGGGTAGGCAAAAAAATCTGAAATTTTTCATGGGTCCGGGGTGGGCTGAAAAATCTGAAATTTTCCGTGGGTCCGGGGTGGGCAGAAAAATCTGAAATTTTTCATGGGTCCGGGGTGGGCAGAAAAATCTGAAATTTTCCATGGGTCGGTAAGGTATCATTTTATTGTCACCCACCTTCTGGTGTTATTTGGCAGTCGCGTGAAATTTTCATTATTTCAAGATTTTTTCATTATTTGTCAAATTTGTATTGCAAGTGTTTCAAAAATGGATTTCTGTTGCATTGGCAAATACTGACTTTGTTTATATATTTAGCAAAGCCACAGCAAAACAGAGTCAAAGACATAGCTGATGATAGCTTACCCTGGTTGCAAAGGCTCTTTGAAAGGCAAAAAAAAAACGAGAGAGAAGGAAGAGCCTCTGGTCACAGTGGTTGCAAATCCCACTTGACTAGGTTCAGAATTTGAATCTCACATCTGATTGGTCATTTGTAAAAATATGTCAAACCGGTTTGGGAAATAAACATTACTGTAAGCTAATTATAGCTATTCTCTTCTCGCCTGTTAAGCCTGCCACAGGGGTATTCTAAGCTGGATTTGCTAGGTCTTGTTCAGCGTTGCCAGCCTTGGGATTTTATCCCAAGATCTTGGGATTTTTTGAAGCGGTTGGGATATTTTTGGGATTTTATTTTGAGAAATGAGACCTTGGGATTTTTCTTGGGATTTTTATGCAGATTGTATTCTAACTATGTTACTAACAATATTCAATAATAAAAACCTGTTATGATTGTCTCAGTCTGTTATTCTTTAAAATTACATAAATATGCACGTGCCATTGAATTCATGTTGTAAATAAAATTATTGTGTTAATCTAAACTGTTTTTATTCATTTGAATTTGCACTACATGAGCACTAGCACTACCAATCTCAGCAACAGTAGGAGTATATATGTATATATATATATATATATATATATATATATATATATATATATATATATATATATATATATATATATATATATATATATATATATATATATATCAGGGAGAAATAGGTTCACTAGTTAGAGGCCTGGGAATGAAAGTGGATTTTGGGATTTTTTGTGAAAAAACACGGAATCTTGGGATTTTTTGAGCTTTCATTGGGATTTTTACAAAGTTGGACCTGGCAACGCTGGTCTTGTTGGAGTTGGAAAAAAAGATCTGGAGTTGTAAATGAAAAACACTGGAGTTGTCACTGAGATAATACTGATATTTTAGTCTTTAACTCAACACACAAAAATATTACAATATCACGTACATTCCAGCAGTCACATTCATTGACATATAAAGTAATGTAGTCTAGTCTAAAAAAGTAAATTAGAGACGTTATAAGTGTTTTTTATCCGTAAGCCAAGCTTTGTTCAAGACAGTTTGGCGCTCTTATTTTGTTCTACATGTTGATCCACTAGATCTGAAAATTGAGAGAAAATTTTATTAACGGTCTGAACATATTGTTTCATGAATTCCTTAATTGATATCAGCATCAGGCTTTAAAGCAAGAAAGGGTTTGTCCACTTTCAATATCTTCTGATCAACACCAAATTTAATCTCTGACCTATAGAAATTCCACAAGGCAACAAATAATTTCTTTCTTCACAGTTGTTAGATCTCTTAAGGCTGGCACAAAAAGGTGATGAACTCGCCTTTCTCGTGGAATACTGAGGGCAAAAGTTGATTGCACTAGGCTCTTCCTTTGAATGTTTACAAGATGTATTATAGCAGAAGATTCCACCATTGACATCTATTGCAGCAGAGACGTTTTGAGGAGTTCTTCTTGAAAGATCAGTTTCGTTCAATATTTACATTGCTTTATCAACTTTCTGGAAAGTGAAAGCCGAAGGTATTGATTGAGTCTATTGACTAAATTGAGAAGTCTGAAGTGATTTTATTCATCGTTATTTCTTATCAGTTTGATATGTTGTCACTTTAATTCTCTGTCAGCAGGGGGAAACATTTTATCTATTTTTATAAAACCCAGAAGTAAAATAATATTAATTGTGACTGCTAAATGGAAAGGTATTTGACCTGAAATTTAGCTAAACTCACTCCAAGGTCATATTTATTTCCTAAGATGTTTATAGTTTATGAAGTATGTCATCAGTTTATATGTAAATAAAAAATTATTTTACACTAAAACTTATATAATAACTAGTACAAATGTCCTTCTTTCAAGACCCAATTGATTGCCCAACCATTGACCCAATAATACCCTGGTTCCAGAGGTTTATTTTTATTATTTTCATTGCGAAGGGGAGAGGAAACCTCTGGAACCAGGGTAACCCAATAAGAACCCATGTCCTGAATGTATATTACCTATTACCTATCTCATCAACAGGTGTATCGTATGAGTGGGGTCTGACGTCACCACACCAAAAAGCATTCAAAAAGTGACTATAACAGTTGTTGTGACAGAGTCACAGTGCAACTAGGGAGGCTTAGAGGCAAGGCACTCAGAGTCACAGTGTAACTAGCAGTGGCGTAACGTTATATCAGGGGGCCCCCGGTTCAAAATTTTCGAAGGCCCCCCTAGTAGAAGTACCAAAGGCACGAGTCGAGCACCGTATGTGCACGAGTTTTCTAGGGGGTCCAGGGCATGCTCATCCGGAAAATTTTTGAATCTAGACTCTCTGAAATGCCATTTCCTGGACTTTGGGGAGAGATTTTACAGAATTCTGATGGTCATAAAACGTCATTGTAACATATCAGAGGCCCTGACCAATGTTTTTGCTCTATCACCTAAGTTCTCCCGGTCTGAGCCCATAGTAGTTACGCCACTGGTAACTAGAGAGCTTAGAGGATCAGAGAGCTTTAAGAGGCGAGAGTGTAACTAGAGAGGCTACCAAGGCTTTTTTGAATTTGGTGTGGTCTTCATCTTACTTATTCAAGTAAGATGAAGACCACACCAAATTCAAAAAAGCCTTGCTAGTTATTCTCAGGGATAATACAGGTCCTCAAGGCTTAATGCTTCAACAAAGTGGCAGAATACAAGAAACTTCAGCTCAGCTCAGTTATGCATTTTCACCACACACGTTGGGAAAACTACTCAACAACAACATAATTGACAAAATCGTTTGCATTTTCCTCCATTGTGTCCAAAGTCACATGGAGAAACTATGATTTCTCATTGGCTAATTGATTCTAACAGCTCAGCACTAATGCACCAGTCAATGTAACCCCCCCCCCCCCCAACCGGGGAGGGGCGGGGAATTTGACTTAGAGGGATAGTAAAAGGGCGAAATTGCCCTGCCCCTGGGGAAAGGGTAATTAATCAATGTCCCCGCATGTCTCTCAACCCCAGGAAAATAGTTTTGTATTTCATAGATCAGCAATAGAAAATCAAATTCATTTTTGTTTCATTCCCCGCAGGAACGAAACGGTACTGTATTTGGTTTCGAGCAATTATCACAGGAAAGTGACGTCAGAGATCAAAGTTATCCAATCCTTTGCCAGTATTCTTGCTCAAACGTCAATTACATTTAGAATCGTCCAATGAGATGACCGCTCCTAGCATAAGAAGTTTTTTGGAGGCGTGGCGTATAATTCGGAAATCTTCGTTAATTATATATCAACCCATGAGAACATGCTAACTTAACCTGAAGTTCAGGCCCTAATTTTAAATAGGGCCTGACACAAAACCTGTCTAGACCGTGGGACGCTCACATGTTATTTTTAGACACAGCATGCAATATGATTGACAAGTGTTATAGATTTCGTTACACAAAAAAATTATATTCTCATGAACATGTCCGCAGAGTGTGCATTTTGCTTTTTAATTAAACTTAAAAATTCAAGGTACTTTTATATAATTAAGAGTCAGTTTCTCTATTTAACCGAACAGCAAACGAAGATTCAATTAGTCAGTTCTGTGTACAGCTTGACTGCCAAGCTTTCTCAAGGTCTCAACTTGCTGGACGCGGATATATACCAAGGATATACTTTAACGGGCTAACAACAGCAACAATAAAATTCTTAAAGTTTTGTTAGTAAAGTTTTTATTCCTGAAAATTACATGTACAGAATTTCTTGCGAATATTTGAAATACATTACTGATTTATTATCAAGAAACTGTTCAGTTGAATAGAGTTAGTCATTCGAGTGCAAACTCATAATGCAGGTCATAAAAATTTATCAGTCGGACTGACATGATATTATTCTGAATTATTCTTTGAACAAATTAGCCTGATTTTCACCAGCGACGCAAACATATAAGGTGAAGACAAAACTTATAAATCTTAAATATGAATCCAACACAAAAGAAGATAAATCTATCTTGTCTTAAAGCAGTGCTGTATGCAAATCTGTCTTTGATGATTGCAGGGAGAAAATTCGAATAATTATTGCAAATAAGCATTATGAATTTTGTACACATCCCGGCAACTTCATATTTTTTTTGCTAATTCACAACAAATGTGTAGGTATGTCTAGCCATTTTGGCATTAGTAAAGCTGTGCCTGAATATCACCTGTCGGAATCCTATAGGATCACATGTGATGGTCAAGATTGGTTAGGGATAAAATCATCATTCCGTGTCATCGTCAGGTGTTTCTAGACAATCTTCGGAAAGTTTCGCAATTTCGTCGCGGAGTTGCGTCGTATGTCGTCGTAATGAATCGAGATGGTGTGATATGGATCGCATAGTTCGTTTTTCTTTCGACCATGTCTCGAGCTCTCCGATCCACTCATCGCATTGTCCTAACACTTCGTCCTTCTTCAAGAAGAAATGACGTTCGATTACCTTAAAAGAAAAATATGTGTCATGTTTCTTGCTTGTCACCTCTGAGATCATGGGTTCGATGGGCACAAACATCAACTACAATATTATTAGACCAAAGGTAAGAACTAATTATGGAATCCAAACGTTGTAGATGTAGATAAAACTTTATTTAAACACGCTATAACCCCTTCAGCATTTGCTGATTTCCAAGAGGGGCGTGATGATAAAATATATACAATAGTTATACACTTACATATTAAATTTTACAATTAGTTAAATCATGGTTAAATAAAGATATAATAATAAATTTAAGACTGCAGGCTAGTATCAGAAATCAACGAATTGAATAGATTTAATGAATTTGCGCTTCTTAACTCGCAAGGTAAGCTATTCCAGAGTTTTGCTCCACTATACCGGATGCTATTTTTCAAGTATTCTGTTTTTCAAGTATTCTGTTCGCATTCACTTCATCAAAAATTTGGGAAAATATAGAAACTAGTCTTAAAGAGTCATACTCGATACTTAAATATAGTCAAATCTTATTAATTTCACAATAGTTTTACATCATCTCTTTTTCTAAGGCCAGGATGACACACGGTCTGTAACATTTGCATAACTTTTTTGAATCATTATAAATCGTAGGCAGTATCCAACTCGAAAACTTCTAGCTAGCTACTTTGGAGTTTGGACACTGCACAAGACTCACTTTCTATAAAAAATTCACTCACGTTTCTTCTTTTGTCTTTATTATATAGAACTATATATGTAAATTTAATGTAATATGTCAATTGTAAGCTTGTTTTTCTCAATAAATCTGTAAATCTGTTTAGAAAACTTTCGACTCGATAAGGTAGAGCTGCGTCCTTCGCAATGGATGATTGCAGCTACAGAAGAAAATTTTGATCTGGACAAGAAGAACTAAATCCATTACCATAGCTGGAAAGAGCATCTTGAAATGAGTAAAATTGTTTGGTTGCGAATTGTTGTAAAATGAGGAAGAGTAGCTCTGTGAATAGCATTTTTGAGCAGAAAGTGGTTATTTTTACCGCGCGTAATACAAATATATACAAAATTTGCGAACTTCACAGGGCTATATTTTCTTCATTTACAACATTTAGCAACCAATCTTTGCAGTTGCACTCATTCTAAGACGCTCTTTCTAGCTGTGGTGTTGGATTTCGTTCTTCTTGCCTTGATCCAAATTTAGTCTATAACTGGAATCACCCATTCAGCATATCTCTCAGCTGCAAGTAAGCATGATTAGTCAGGGGTTTTTTCCGGATTTTCTCTTGGGTCCGTTTTTGCAGAGAAGATTGAGTTTAGCTGAACAGCTGGGGTGGCTGCACCCCCTCCCCCCTACCGGGGGCTGACACCTGTACTCAATAAATGTAGTTGAGACGGAATGTGTTAAAGCAGGGGCACTAAGGGACACTATAAACTGGTTAAAGATGGCCAATGCATAGTTTTTCTTGTGTTGTGAGATGAATTCCAGCCATTTTTTCTTAATTGTCGGGCTTCCAACTGAAAACCAACTTCCACACGCCACGAAATTTAACTCAAACAACTTCATTTTTACTGCACTGAAACTTTGGTGAGAAGATTGAGTTTCAAAACTCAATTCAAGATTGAGTTTTTGGGGCCGTTTAACGGCCCTAAAAAATCCCTGAAAAAAACCCTGTTAGCACACACCCACTTACTCAGTCTACTTACATACCTAAACAAAATGAACGCAACCATTTCTCTCACCTGTTTAAAACAAGGACAAGGATTCTTTAGTGGTTCCAACATTGCCCATTTCACGGTCGCTTGCCGAATGTTTGCGTCATATTCTCGCGAGTTCACGGTACCTGAATGTGTCCCGCGTGACCTCTCGTAGCCAGGTTCGTTAAAATAAGGTTCTGGTACCAAGATAAGTGATTGAATGGACACAAGAACCTAGAAACAAAATTCATTATCATAATTACTTTCTCCAAGTCATTTCTGATCGTTAGGATATTCAACTGATATAGAGTAATGATTAATGAGAAGACATAAACAGAAAAGATCATCAGAGATCTGCAAAAAGGGTTCTCTAATTTATTTTAATTAATTACGGACAAGAGGTACGCCAATATTACGGCCTGGTACTTCTTTTCCTTTTTTTTTCCAGCCACGTATCACGTGGGTACGGAACTCTTGCTATCTGCGTACTTAATTTTGCTGGTACCATAAGACCTTTCCAAGCACAAGCTATTCAAAACCGTAATTCATGTTAATATATGTTACTATGCAGCCTCGTCCCCAGGCTCCAAATCAGACGCGCGGATTCCGACGCAAGCAGTGGAACGGCGCAGCAAATCAAAGCGCCTGGAGACGAGGCTGGTTACTATGTAAGTCTGATCATAGCCTATAGAAGGGGAGATGGCTGTGAAACTCATTAGAATAACAATATAAATCATCTATGTTGGTCAACGTTTATTCATAAATCTGGTCCTTCACCGTCACGTGTGTATTGTATTTTTACCCAACTAACCAATAGCAATGTTTTAGGAAAGTTACCTATCCGTGACTCGAACAATAGGGAAACTGGAAATTGCTGTTGGTGGATTTGGCAAAAATACAATACACACGTGACGGTGAAAGGACCAGATTTATGAATATACGTTGACTAACATAGATAATGAGTTTTATTTTTCACCCTGCTCGGTTTCCTTTATTCTTATCGGGGAATATATTCAATATTCCACTCTAATCAATTTCCGTTTAATAATCCCCTCTAATATTCACCTGCAATTAATAATCCCCTCTAATATTCACCTGCAATGCTTGTGCAGCACAAAAAAATGAGAAAAAACAACATAACGAAGGCAATATGTCATTAAGAAATATTTCTATTCTGTCTCATTAACGCGACCTCGCAGTGTGAAAAATAAGTACGTTATTTTGAGGCACCTCGGGGATATGTGTTTATTCACCTCGGCGCTGCGCGCCTCGGTGAATAAATCACATATCCCCTCGTTGCCTCAAAATAACCTATACATATTGTTATTCTAATGAGTTTCACAGTCATCTCCCCTTCGAAAGGCCATGGTCTGACATGTCTTGGCATGAAACACGTTGGACTGGTATGACGAGATAGGACTAAGAAATTTTGGAGTCGATTGTAGTCTTTGTATATGCAATGGATGATTCCAACTTTTGATCAGATTTTGATCTACACAAGAACGAAATTTATTAGCTGGAAAGAGCATCTTAAAATCAGTAAAATTGCAAAGTTTGGTTGCAAATTGTTGTAAAATGAGGAAAATATAGCCCTGTGGACTTCGCAAATTTTATATACATTTGTATTACGCACGTGAAAATAACCATTTTTGAGCCGAAAGTGGTTATTTTTACCGCGCGTAATACAAAATATATACAAAATTTGCAAACTTCACAGGGCTATATTTTCTTCATTTTACAATATTTAGCAACCAAACTTTGCAGTTTTACTCATTCTAAGACGCTCTTTCTAGTTGTGGTGTTGGATTTCGTTCTTCTTGCGTTGATCAAAATTTAGTCTGTACCTGGAATCACCCGCTGTGCTCTTTATTCTAACTTGTAGTTTCCGGTTACTGAATGACTACCTTTCAGCATCAGAAACCTGTACTTTATTTATGAACACCCTGAGTATTCGTTTGTACAAATTATCGCGCCCTGTGTCTATCTCTTATATTCTACCTGCAGAAAGCTGGATGTCTGCGAATTCCACTTTTCTTCAGGTCGTCCATGCCAAGTGTTTAAAATACTCAGACAAACCTGGAAAGTAAAAATAGTATATTACACAACATCACATAGAACATAGTCATGCAAAAAAAACATAGGCTTATATAGAATTAAAAAATATCCGTGGTTCCGGTTTCATATCTTGAAAAAAAGAACAACGGCGTAGGTAGGTCGGAAAATAATCTATTTTGAAACTGTTTGCTTGACATTGTTCAATAATGGCCACGACTGTGATCAGTTGGCATTGCCACAACACATAAACATTTTAAAAAGCACCAACTGTGGGTAACAAATGCCACTTGTGGCGTCACGTATCATAAGAGAGCAAGGAAAATAGGATCAGTAGGTAAGCATACAACCCAGCCACATCCGGAAGACATCAGGTTTGGCAACATGGACGGATTTTCAGAATTTGTCCTGTGGGGGTGTTGAAAGTTCACGTGGGAAGGTGAGCGAGGGGGTGCGTTGCGCCACTGCGCAAGATGCAATATGGTTAGAGGTAATGGGGCGAAGCCCCCAGGAATAATGTTAAGATTTTTGGTCTTATTTAGTTCAAAATCTTTGTTTTATGCAACTTATTTGGGGGGGGGGGGGGGGGGGGGGGGCGCACCCCCAGAAAATCCGTCTACGGTTGTTAGAAATAAAAGACGGTCGGTCGGGAAACCGTACCCGATGGAATGTCGCCTCTTCTGTTCGTAAAAGAAATGAGCTTTCATCTAAGTCCTAAAGGTAAAGTACTCCATGCAACTCTTACCTTGCCATCATTGTAAAGATTAGGATTAAATCTAATACGATGGTTTCCAGTTGTTTCAAAACTGATGTGCATCGGATTAGAGGGATAATCAAGAGGGAAGTACACGTCAAATTCAAAACAACCATTGGCGTATGGTGTGTCAGCGGGACCAGTCATTAACACCTAAACCAAAGGAGGAAATAGATCAATCAATTTTACTGAAATTTTCCGAAAGCACATATGAACAAAACAGTACTGAATTAGTCTTATGTTTTACCAATACCTGTCAAGATAAAATATAATGATCTGGAAGCCAGGCAAACTTCAAAGCCACAAAATAGAAGACCTTTCTTTGATGTTAATCTGTACCTTACTATGGACAAATCCTTTGTCTCAAATTCATTAAATATTATTAATCGTGATTGCACGTTCAAAGCCACAAAATAGAAGACCTTCCTTTGATGTTGAACTGTACCTTATACAGTGCACAAATCCTTTGTCTCAAATTCATTAAATATTATTAATCGTGATTGCACGTTTCATCTCAGCTATCCCTATGTTGGGTGGCTGTTTCTTTTTAAGAAAATCCAATGAGCTCAATCACCGTGACCGTGTACAAACTAACATAAACTCAGGCAAAAGCATAACACAATGACTTCTGTTCAGTTTCAAAACCATCATTGTGATAGACTATAATCAATGAATCAAGCTACCTTCATAATGTCCAGTCGTTCTTCATCACATCTTACAAACACGCTGGAACTATAAGACAACGGTAGTGAGGTAGACAGTGAGGCAATTTCCTGAGCTAGACGTCTCGCCCTGCCTGCATTTGTCCTCTGTCCGGAGGATGTTGCTGACTTTACTGAGCTTGAGAAGTGATAAGGAATTGTAAAGTTGATCTTTCCATCTGCGCCTTCTGTTACTACCGAAAATGTATCTGGAATAAAAGATAGATTCGTTAATACAGGGTTCGTACATGTCAGGAAGAGTCAAATTAAAGGACCTTTTAAGGACATGTCATTCAAGGCCATGTATCAGCGAATTCAAGGATTAAATACTGAATAGAAGGGGTTAGAAATCAGTGAGATGTGACGTTGAATTCTTCAAAACGCAACTTTAATGAGTTTCAAACAGTTTTGTCAGGTATAAACATGCAAAATCAATTCAACAAAATGTCCGTTTTGAATGTCAAACAATTTCAGAAAATATCCATAAACTAAACCAAGGACTTTCAAGTACTTCTTTACAAATTTAAGGACATTCAAGGCCTTGAATTTTTGTTGTCAAATTCAAGGACATTCAAGGACTTTCAAGTTTTGTACGAACCCTGCTATGTACACGTAAACCACTGTCAAACACAATTTGTGACACCATGCAGCATCGTGCCTAGCCTCCTCCGCACGCATCTCGTAGGTCACCTGGGTTGCTTGGATTTACAAAGTCGTTCAATTTTTTGCCCGCAACCAAATTCTGCCTGCCAATCTAAAGGCGATGCCTTCGATGGAGGCCACATCGTCCCTAACTCTGAAAAGTTTGAACTTACTTGTTCAACTTACGTAAATTTACCACTACCAAGTAAAACGTTTATTGCTAAATAAAAAGAAACAAGCTAAGTTTAAAACTTACCAAATTGTAACGGCATCATTACGAACGAGTATTTCTCCTCGGTACTCAATAGCTCTTCATCAGCCCCTTGGCCGTGTGCGTCACCATCAGTACTTGAGCCGTCAATCTTCAAATGTTCCCAACGGTATCTATCAACAGCTTTATGGACAAGCATGGATGTAGTTTGTACATCAGGGATAAGTAGGGATAGACTCTCGTTTTCAAGATCCTCAGTCTTGGTAGCCGCACTTGAAGGTGTTGTTTCCACTTTGATTTTCTTTTTGCTGTCCTCCACTTTCTCTGAAGATCTGATAGAGAAAAGAAAAGTCTGTCAAGACGTGGAAACATTGATGTAGAACAACCACTGAGCTCTATATATATCTGGAGCAAGAACTTCAGTCATTCGGCCTATGAGAAAAGTGAAGCAAAGATGGCGTTCCAGTTTTAATACCATTTTCCCAGCTTATTCCAGTTTTTTTCCAACGGACCGTATCGCTAATCAAATTATCACTTCGTAAAACCATGGTATTGTATGTACAAAATTCTTAATGAGCAGTCCGCCCCAAGTCTTAGAGAAAAATTTATAAAAATTAAAGATCTTAATAGAGAAGATAATGTTCGAAGTAATGAGACTGATCTAGCACTTCCTGCAATGCTGTGGAATAGTTTTCCTTCTGAGGCGAAAAAGGCATCCTCGCTTTACCAATTTAAACGCAGTATATCCACTATACCAGAGACCCAGAGACTAGGATGTGAATTAAGATAGTTTGTACGTATAACACGCCCCATCTGAAAATCAACTCATTGCATTTTACAAATATGTTGTGTATGGCCAGCGTGGTTAAATAAATTTTTAAGTATTATTCTTTTTATTATTAGCATGACAAAATTACCGAATGCTGATTGGTTGAGAGGAGTACAATTATTTCATTAATTGTACTGCAGTACAATGATTTTCCAACAACAAACAAAATGGCGGAAAGATATTTTAAACACAAGCGTGAAATGAAATTGCCCTTGGGGAACTAGATGAAAATACGAACAGCAGCACCAAATTTTGCTTTAACAAAAGAACTAAATGAAAATACGGACAAAAGCACCAAATTCTGGTTGAAAATCTGGCAGTACTGGGCTTTGGCGAGAGAATATATCGGCGGCTCGTCCAATTTTGGCAAAACTTCCAAACATCACTCGTACTATTAATCCCTAATTGTACGAGCAACATCGCATGATTACTTGTTTATTATTAGCATGACAAAATTGGATACTTCTCAATGTTAACATCATATAGACAGACAAAAGAGCTCTCGTTCCAGATATATATGGAACTCACTGAGAGACATCTGAATTTCTTAAAGTTTCCCCAAATATTTCCCGATGTTGCATAAACACAATTTCCATTCCAGGAAGCAAAATTTAGTCTTGCTTCGCTTCGCCGAGTGGAAAACGGGCTTTAGTAACGACTTCACTTTTTCAGGGTGTCCACCCTTTGGTGAAATTCAAGGACTTTTCCAGAACTTTCAAGGCCCTTTTTCAGTAAATTCAAGGACCTAGAACTGGGAAAAATCTTTGTAAATGGCACGGATATGCCGTAAATAATTCACTTTATTCAGTAATTTTAATCAAATTCACTAATGTTGACACAGCTGGAGGTGAAGGAAATTAATAGCTGTTATCGTAATTGAATACGTCTATGTTACGGACCAGCGGTATCTGCATTATTTTAACATCTAGACGAGGCTATAGGGTCATGTTTTGTGTTTTTTACCCTTTAGCCTCGTTTTCGTGCGTAATTCCACTGAGATACCGCTGGTTCGCCGCAGCGGCGGATTCAATTACGATAACAGCTATTCCAGGACTTTTAAGGACTTCTACGGATTTTCAAGGGCCTGGAATTTTTTTTTCCAATTCAAGGACTTTCCAGGATTTTCAAGGCCCGTAGACACCCTGCTTTTTTCACCAGTCAATAATGGTTTTACGTTTATAAATATTACAATGTGGCCCTCACCTCAACCTTGACCCATATGTGTCCACGCATAGTTTCATCTTGGTCAACAGACTACAGAGTGATGACGTATCATCCTTGGATGTATTCTTCGTGTTATGTTGTCCCGGATGTAAAAGTGGGACTAAGTTCCGACTGACTGCAATACATCTTACAAAGCCAAGAACTGCACGATACACTGGAACATGTCGGGCCATGTCTAGTACTGTTGGGATAGAAAAAAATTATATACCAAGTATCAAAGGTCATGTATTCTTGCATCTCATTGGACGAGAGCGTATCACGTGAAAGTCACGAAATTCGACTGTGAGCGGTGGAATTTACTTTTATCCACCGGTGAACTCAACACCATAGCTCGAAAGAGCGTCTTAAAATGAGTAAAATTGCAAAGTTTGTTTGCGAATTGTTGTAAAATGAAGAAAATATAGCCCTGCGAAGTTGGCAAATTTTGTATATATTACGTATAAAATGGTTATTTTTCCCGCGCGTAATGTAAATACATACAAAATTTGCGAACTTCACAGGGCTATATTTTCCTCATTTTACAACAATTCGCAACCAAACTTTGCAATTTTACTCATTTCAAGATGCTCTTTCCAGTTGTGGTAATGGATTTCGTTCTTCTTGTCCAGATCAAAATTTTGTCTATACCTGGAATCATCCATTGTCAGGGCTGGTCAAAATAATGGCCGGTCAACAGTCAATGACCGGCCAAATTTTAAAATATTTAATATGACCGGTCAAGTTTGTTCGACGTCGGTCCAAGTGAACAGTCACATATTGTTTTGTTTTTTAAGCGTTTATTAGCGAGTGGGAAACACCAACATGGCCGCCATCTATTCAAATGGGGGTAACCGCTGGGATATTCTTAGCTTCAATTTTACTAAAAGCGATGCGCTATCTAGTCTATATAAGATATCTATGGCTCGGTTCGTAGAATGCGGCTCATATTCGTGTGTCATTGTTGACATTACAGTTGGGTTAGTGCTTTAAATATATTCAAACAAATATAAAGAAACAAAGTAGCATTTCCTCATACCCGAGTCATTTCGTAAATAAGATGCCAAGGTAGGAATTAAACATGAATTCATAAATATATCCGGTAGAGATGGCAAGGCATTGGTAATATCCTCATCAGAGATATCTAGTGATATATCATCAATACCAACTTCATCACTGATTTTCACACCAAGTGGACAAACAAAGCTTGCAAGAACCTAGGAAAAAGGATACAGTAATCAATCACATATACGTGCAATCCAAATAATAATCCTAAACCTAACCCTATAAACTAAACAAACACTGCCTCTGGGAGGAAACTGTTCTTCTTATATAGAGAGATCCAAAACTAATCCCTTGTTGGACCAATGTTATTACATGAGGTAACCTAATCTAAATAACTCCATTTATACTGGAAAGCGGAATCAGTTATAAACTGTTCTCCCTGCATGGAAGTCCAGTAAGACTAAGAATCTTCGCTTACAGGCATACTGCAGCAGGAAACCTAAACAGAACAACTTTATTTATACTGGATAGACCTACCAGTTTGGGTTTCTAATTTTATAATTATACAACTTTAATTCAGTACCACACATAAGGCTTGAACACGAACGGGACTAGGTCCCATGCAAGGTGTCAGCCTGACTAAAATTTACAAACTACTAGCGTAACTATAATAACTATTATATACAAGCATTTAAAATAGATAAAATTAGGAATGACAAGGACACGTCCTACACAATGAATAAGTGCAGGGTAAATCTGGATCGAATGTTGTTGTCAAAAGTTCCTTGTAAGTCTTGTACAAGAATGTTTTGAAACTACTGAGAGTTGCAAATATACAAGATGGAGCTAACTTGAGGATTAAGTTCCATAGATGGACAATTCTATTGAAGTACGACGTTTTAAAAGTACTAGTTTTGCAAAAAGTGGTCTGTAAATACTTTGACGACCCCCGTCTTGTTCTACTACTGACAAAAGGTGTAAAAATATTTGTATCGTGGTCAATTAGACCATATCTACATTTATAATAAAAAGTCAAATCTTTGATCTCTCTATCATAAGAAAGTGGCAGGAGATCTAGTTTCTTTAAGCGATCCACGTAAGCTAAGTCCCCTCGTTTAAGTCTTAAAATCCACAACGTCTTAAAATCCACAACTCATAAACATGTGCCACATATTACAACCGCATGGCGTTATTCGCAATACCAGAGCTTTTGAGATATCAAAGCTTGCCCAAGAAAAAAGAAACATAGTGAAAAGTTATGAACTGCAACCAACAATTAAACATAATCTTACATTAATCCTATAGTCTGTAACTCTTCCTCCACATCCTTCACTAATGGAAGGAGGATCTTCCAGAGGACATCTGTTATTTCCAAGACAATGAATGTATAGATCACCTGAAAACAATACTCACTTAATTTACTTACTATACCAAAAATAACGCTTCAACATGGCAGATAAATTGGCGTTGAAGTAATTTAACTCGAAAACGACATGTCGTGATTATGTTGACGATTTTAAAAATTCTGTCGAATCAAAAACAATTATTTATTTATTTGAAAGAATTCATGGTTCCAGATCAGCTAACAGCCAACTAAAAAATCGTCATATCAACTCAATAGCTGACCAAATACGTTTTGACATAATATTAATATATGAGTTTTGACATAATATTAAACGTTATAAAATTTTAAAACATTTTAGATGTTGTTTTATATATAAGTAAGATACTCTTTCTTGACAATTCTATTAAAGTATACGATTTCTCCTTCATATTAATCATAAGAAAAAAATCGCACAAGAAATCGCAGTAAAAATTGCAAGTGTGTCAGGCCTTAATGCAGCCCGTTGCTCAACCCAGGAGGGTGGAAACCCATAAAATACAGTAAGTAGGGCGCGCATACGCAATATAAATAGAGCGCCTGGGTATGAACGAAAACAGGAACAATGCTTCTAATCTTGCTCTCGAGTTTCCTCCTGTTCCAGACATTTCCGCGTATGAACATCTCACCTTAGCGAAATATCACGTAAACAATCTTAAACACATAAAGGCACTGTGAAGAAGATCTAATTTCTATTTTGCCACAGCCTAAATTTTTGTACAAATAACTAATATAAAGCGGTACATACCAGCATGGCTAGTCAATACATGTGATATTACTTTATTTCCAGACTTCTTCGGCTGTTCCAGTAACACATTCTTTCCTGAAATTATATTAAATGTATTCTCGTATTTATAATATACACCGAAACACTCGCTTATTTGAAATCTTGGCAGAAAAGCGGTAGCGGACACTTCTCGCCCCCCCATTTCCGAGAGCCTTTGAATGATGGATGGATAAGTATGCACAGTAACAATTAAGCTGTAACAATAATTTTCTGAACCTTTAAGGTATTGGATATAAATTAAGCTATATAATGCAAGAAATTTAAAGCAAAAAAATATTTCCAGCAACAAAGGTGGCCATACATGGTGGAAACCTAAGTTCACCCTCCCCACCCCCACCCCCCTCAATATTTCGTGAAGTGCATGTCGGCCACTGCAGAAAAAGAATTTTTAGCAAGGCAAAAACCGTTTGCCGGCTGCTTGAAAAAGTTTTTATCTGTTGCAAGTACATGAAGTACTAACAAGGAGCACTCTACATTTCCGGTTGCTGCCCTCTATATATCCCGTCTCAGGAGATTAGCTTATAATCGTTTGACATTTTAACAGCAATATAGGCGTAGGAATTTAGTCGCATTTCCGTGATTTTGATAAGCAGGGGTGCAAATCGTATCGGACTGTGGGAGCATTTTGGCCCAGAAAATGTTTAAGTTCCATGGTGAGAAAGTAGAAGATAGAATGAATTTATGAGATAGATACAAAAAAAGAGACAAACAGAACAAATAGGACAGATGTGAAGTCAACAAGGGTTTCACCTTGGAGGAGAGGGGTGGTCAAGTTTAATCATAGAATTTAATTAAACAATTATAAGACAAAACACAATACGAAGATTAGCATCTTGAAACTCAAGATATCAGTCAATGCAAGACGAGAATAAGTTTCATCATCAGACTAACTAAAGTCACAATATATACACGATATTTTATAGAAGATGGTATGGCATAACGTATAATTACAGAATGTGCTTATTACGTATTCAGTTTACCGCTATGCCCGGCAAAGCAAGACAAACGTTTGCTACATTCTCATCTAATTTTTTTCCACAAATTGTCGTATATTAATACGTTTGATATTTTCTTATATTATACCTCAAATTCAAATTGTCCAATCAGGAAGCTTAGTTTGTGCCACGTGAGCATGAAATTAATCACGATATCACGCCTTACGTCATCAATTAGCGAGCCTGCGTTCTTTTTGACAATGTTCCACCCCATGTTCCCCGGGGAACATGGGGTGGAACATTATTCGCGTAGACCACGCGAGACAACACGCATGATAACAACATGGCCGACAAAATATAAATAGTATTGATGAGTGATGAATAATCTGGGTAAATGATGTAAAACCTGGGGCTTTTTCAAAATTTTGAAGTAAATTTTGAAAAATGTTGTCATTAATATTCCAAACGATATGTGATTCGAAAGAAAAGCGACGATACTTGCGTTAATCCGAAACTAAAACATCGTATTCACGAAGGTATGTGTCAAGTTTTTATTTCTCAACTTGGAGGCTTTTAATTTTCGGTATAATATATCATTTATAGACCCTCCGCTCGGGGAATTCGGCGAAATATTACCCTCAGTGATGATATTTCCCTCGGGGCAAAGCCCCTCGGGAAATATCATCACTTCGGGTAATATTTCGCCGAATCCCCCTCGCTCCAGGTCTATAAATGATAAAAGTTATCGTCCTGAGTACAAACACACAACCACGTATGTATACATACATACATATACATGTACAGTATATACACATACAATAATGAGAACATAACCTCTCGACGGAGGTAATGATATTTTCCAAGTCTGTTCATAAGAGGGAGGAAATGTATTAATTCCAATAGTCTCTACTAATACTGCATGTTAACGACTATTTACTGCATTCAATATTCCAGCAAATAAAGTAACAATAACGATGTGCAAACCTTGTAGGAGAAAAGAAACCAGGCAAGCTGCTGGACGACTGTTAACCTAAAATAGAGAAATATTTACTTATCAGAAGATACACAGCAACACCTTTGATTTACCACCACACGTTCCTATACGAGCTTATCTAAGTTAATAGAGTAATTAAAAATTCCTCAAGGTCAATTCTTGGACCGTTTTATTCCTATAATCTATGTAAATAACTTTCATGACAGTTTGCAGTACTCGTCAACGTTTTCCGACAATACGAGATCAACTCTTCCACATCAACTGTTCTACTGCTGTACATATACTAAAGGAGTGATGAATTATTGAGATTAAAAAACTTTAAAGAAACTTTAAGAAAGCTCGTTTGTGTTAAAAATTTTGAAGCCAATTTTGAAAAATATTGCCATCAGTATTTCAAACGATAAGTAATTCGAAAGAAAAGTGACAAATACTTGCAATACAAAAAATAAAACATCCTAGTCACGAAGATATGGGGCAAGGTCCGCTATAAATGATAATTGTACACTCCATGCAAGCGCGAACAGCAAGTTGGCTATACCTATTTTAATATTTTTGTCCGTTTAGGTAGCATACAACCACAGGTCCTTTTTGTTTTGGCAATTCTCAGGGGTATACCTGCATAACTTTCTGGATTTGCATGTAATTTATCGGTGAACAACAAGTATAGAAATTTACAAATCATGCAGCAACAAACGGTTGAAGTTTGTAACTAGCTGTCCTATTATTTCTGTAAAAAAAAACAGTTCTCCATCTAAGTCTGGGTTGTCAGCCTAAGAACTACCGGTACACATACGACAGTTTTGCTACATATATGAAGCGGTTGATTAAATGAACTCTTTTACTTGTAAATGTACAAATAATATGATATAAGCTCTTAGTACTTGCCAATCCCACGAGGCGATTTATAATACATTTCACCCAAAAATATCCCATTCCCATTATACTCTTGAAACAACATTAAAGGGGAATGGCAATATATTTTTTTTATTTTCTCGTTTGAAAGAACATTTAAAACCCTATATAAAACTCTTTTATCGTTTTTTCATATCTTGCTTACTTCGACCATGGATAATAAAATAAATGGATATGAAACTTCGTATCACGTGGTATGTATCATGCTCTTTGATTGGCTGAAACGATGTTTAGCTCGTTCAGAAATGGCCGCAACCTTGTTGAAAATTGTGATGTAAGTGATGGCGAAATATCACGTAAGTATTGCTTTTCTTTCGCACTTTTGACTGAGATTTTTTAACATTTTCTTTAAATTTTCAGTTGACAACACTCTTTTGTTTATTTTGTATGTTTATGTTGATGGGCAGACACGTAGATATGGCCTAAGCCACAAAGCACTAATCAAGGTAAGATGACACTGTGATTGTTTACATTTAGGTTGATAAACTTTCGAGGAAATTGCGTCACAAAATAGTCCGATTTTAGTGCATTTTGTTAGTTGTTTTTTTATGCATTTTTTGTCGACTTAATTTCATGTAGTGTCTTTCAAATATGTCATAATGTAAAGACAATTGGTCAATTTGTGGCTTTACAACAATTAAAATTAGAAATAAGGTCGTATTTTATTAAAAATTTGCCGAAAATTTGCCCCATTGTATGAGCTTTGCCTGGCAATTTGTTGCTAAGACCCAAATCACCACTAAGGAGTAAACTGAGAAAATGATGTCATTGTGGCACTAGGTTGCTAAATGTAACTAAATTTGTCATCTGGCAACCAGATATGTTGTGAATTGTTGGTTAATTTGAATTTCATCTGTTTTTATGTAGCATTATCACTTTGCATTATGGGCAAGTCTCGAATAGGACGAAGGAGAAAATATTCCCACAGAATATACAAAACGAGCACCACAGATATTATCGACGATGATCAGGGTTTACCATACAAGTTTCAGTTCCACCTACGAAATTTGCCAGCAACAATCTTCACTCACCCATCTATCAACAATTTTATTGAAGTCTTCGAATTATTGGTTAATGTTGACATTTTGGCTGAGAGATGGACCTTGGTTAACCATGATCATCCATTCCTGATGCTTTCCACTTTTTGTGAAAATGGGACATTGCCTCCAAGTGTTGAAAAAACCGTGATTGTCAATGAAGACCTGACATGGAACTGTATAATTAAGAATAAGAATGTGAAGGAGAATGTACATGGAATTTGCAACACTTTAAATAACACAAATGCCTTTGTTATGCTGTTGGATTTTATGGATGCTTGCAAAGTATGCTCTGGCATACAAGACAATAAACTTATTGAATTGTCTAAGTTGAAAAACCGGAATGGAGTGTTTAAAGATCGACAAGGGAATATCAGAGGTGAACTGAAAGATGATGACGTTATCAGACCAGTTGATTGCTGTGGAGTTGTCCCAACAACTGCCAATGGTAATTTGTGTGACTGTTGTAAATCATACCGTAAATGCCTTCTGACAATTTTGCTAAGAGAAAAACGTAAGTTGCTGTGTGAAGTATCTGTGGTGAAAGCAAATACCAAGGTCAACAGTCATTGTCCATGGAAACATCTATCGGAAGAAGAACACAAACAAAGGGTAAATAATTGCAGGCAAGGTAGACAACAACAATTTCGTCAAATTCAACGGCTAAAAAAGAGATTTGAAGATGAATCTATTGAACTTGTACCAGATGACCATACAGTAATGGAAACTCTCTTCACTGACTTGCAGTCACAAAACAAATGTGAAAATAAGAACGACTTTAAATCCTTGTTGCTAGAAGAGCAAGAGAAAGCAATGGAATGCTCCGATAAAAGGGGAAGAAGATGGCACCCTCTAATAATTAGGTGGTGCTTTCAGATGCATGCAACATCCCCAAAAGCATACCAGATGCTAAGGGAAAGTGGTATATTAACTCTACCTCATAGTAGGACATTACATGACTACAGTCATTGCTTTAAGGCTAACATAGGTTTTGATTCTAACTTTTTAGATATAGTTAAGAAAGATTTTTTAGGAAGATGTAATCCTAAAGAATGTGATTCATGGATAGGAATCATTCATGACGAAGTCTCTTTGCGGCAGGACCTTGTATTCGATGATTCAGGTAGGCTTGTTGGGTTTGTTAATTTGGGCTCCACACAGAATGCTATTGATTCCTTGGAGGATTCACTTTCAGTAGGGGGATGTTCTACTAGTTCGCCAGTAGAGGCAACACACATGATTCAGTTTATGGCTGTTAGCCTATGTTCTGATTGGAAAATGCCAATTGCATTCTTTCCAACAACCACAATTAAGTCTTTTGCACTGTTTAATCTCTTTTGGAAATGTGTTGAAGAATTAGAGGAGAGGGATTTTAAGGTTCTTACCACAACTTGTGATGGTGCATCCCCTCACCGTACGTTTTATAAGTATCATATCATACCAGGTGATACTCGAACAAAAATACTTTATAAAACACCAAATCCATATGCTGATGAAGAGCGACCGTTATTCTTTATCTGTGATCCAGTTCACCTTTTAAAGACTACCCGTAACAACTGGGAAAATAGTTTTTGGAAAAATAAAACAAAAAAATTAAGGAACAACAATAGGTGGATAAGTTGGCTACAGTTAATTGATGCTTTTGAAAATGATATAAATGATTCAAATGCCTCAGGTTTGCGGATTCTTCATAAATTAAACAATGATCATCTTTTTCTGAATCCATACTTAAGAATGAGGGTTTATTTAGCTGCCCAGGTTTTCAGTAATAGGGTTGCTTGTGCCATGACAGTTCAGGGAAAAGCAGGGACGGAAGAAACCATTAAGTTTGTTAAGAACATGAACGACTTTTTTGACTGTCTTAATGCCAACAAAGTTTCTACTAAATTTGAGTTTAAGAGTGTTTACCGTTGTGCAGATGATAGGAGGCTTGTTTGGCTTAAAACTGACTTTTTGAAGTATTTTCAGGATTGGGAGGAATGGGCTTTAGGTCAGACAGACGTGCCATTATCCGAGCGTAAGCAGTACTTTATAAGTGATCAAACTTGGGAAGGTTTGCAGATCTGTATTAACTCATTTAGGTTGTGCAGTTTTTGCTTAAAATTCCAGATGTAGATTATGTTGTTGCCACTAAGTTTAATCAGGACCCAATAGAGAAGTTCTTTGGAAAGTTACGGCAGCAGAGGGGTGCATATGGGACCTTTACATGTAGTGAATTCCAACAATCTTTTGCTAGTACTTCCTTTTGCCAGACTCATGCAATGAAAGTTGTTAGACGGTTGAAGAGGAATGGTGGTTCTCTTGATGACCTTGATCCAGACTTGAAAATAGCTAAGCATAAGGTCATAAAGAAATAGTGAAAACATGTGTTGTGTTATTAAGCAGATTATGCTAATCAATGTTGTTATACATGTTTCAATCAGTATCTGATTTAATTAAATTAATGTTAATGGGGTCATGCCACATTACATGTTCTGTTTGGCAGTAAACCTAAAAGTTTATAATAATTATATATATATATATATATATATATATATATATATATATATATATCTCCTTCTTGAGATAATTTTGTGCACTGCAAGTTTGCAACATGATTAAATGAAATAATTTTTATATATGTATTATAATATCAGATTGTACTAATCTAATTAATAAATAACCTTTGATTATGAAAGTACCAAGTTTTTTGAAGTTATGTCATGTTGGATTTGGTACTTAGAAACTGAATTTGTGACCCAATTAATATCTTACTGGTATTGTAACTGTTATATATATTATTAGTGTCAATAATTATGTGTTTTTTTTTGCAGGACAGGTTTTTTTCAATATAGCTATTTAACATGAAGTGTTTTGGAAATTTCATAGCCTAGCCCGGGGGCATAGAATTAGCAACTCAAAGTTGGGGGGGGGATGACAACATAAGGGCACTTCTTTGTCTGTATTTCCTTAATCCTATGTTTGGCATCTGAAGTATATCAGCATATGGAATATCATGGATAATAAAATAACTTATTTTATTTTTTATTTATATTATAACATGAAGATTATAATAATTTATTTTATTATCCATGGGTATATAATGTCATATATAACTATATATTAAACATATGGTAACAGTTTATATCAACTTTATTTATGATAAATAATATAAAAGATACAATTGTCAAATATCACTGCATGTTCACGCCAGTGTACAATAATGCTTTTCTAATGCTGTCCTTCCCATGCAAATCAACATGTTTTGAATCTTGGTGGACATGTGTAAGTGTTTCATTAAATTTTTTATGTTCTTTGTATACCTTCAGATATGCCCACTTCCTTACCCGATAAAACAAACTGGCAAAGAGTCGAATAAGTAACATGTTATCTTCATGATCAAGCTGAGCGGAATAAGGCCATTTTTCCAACAACTGTGGTGTGTTAATATCAACAAGCTGTTCAACCAATTCAGCATCAGACTTATAAGTACTATCCCTAAAGTTTGATATATTAAGAAACGGCCGAATAGACAATTCCAGAGAACAAAATAACTCCAAATCTAAAGGACCTATCGTTGTAAGGCCACCTCTGGTTAAAGACAGTGTCATAAGATTGGGATATGACAATGCCGGTGGTTGGGTTTCTATGCTTGGCACATATTTACTTAAAATTTTCACAATCTTAGCTAACTGCTGACACTTGTCTTTCACGTTTAAAGTCTGCGAGTCTTTGTTCACTTCACAGTATCTTTGTAATTTGTCTCTGGTCTTTCTGTAAACATACCCTGCAATATATGCGATAATCAGTCGCTCAACTGGAGTAAGGCTGTTGTTGTTTTGACTATTAAATTCTTCATATTTCTCGACGATGCTTAAGGCATTCCGGACAGAAATGGAGCGGAATTCACATATCTTTTCATATACCGCTGAAATAATCTTTTGCAACAGCAGCCTCCCTTCGGTGTGAACGTTGCAGCTAGCTAAAACAGCTTTCCATCCAGATAAAAGTTCGTCTGAACTTCTGTATTCGTTAAGATGCTGTGCGATGTATTTCTGCCTTGTTGAGGTTTTCTTTCGACTGTCCATTGCAAAGACGATATCCCATAGTTTTTGCGTGACGGAAAGTTCGAGAAAATTCACGGGCAGGTTGTTAGATCCGCCTTTCTCTATTTCCACCAATACTTTTTCAGTTTGATCTTTCATTTCCCCGAACCGTTTTCCCCGTAGCAAAGTTGTTTCGACAGAAGTATCGCAAGTATCTCGTAAAAGTTTTCTGACAGTAGGTAATCCTTCGCTTTTGAAAAAGTCATTAACCCCGAGATTAGCTAGCACTTGTCGTGTTTTTACTTGGTGTTCTGACAAATTTAAACTTAGTGCTTTCGTTCTCCGTTTGCCGTCACAAGAAGCTTGATGCTTAATTAACCAGCTCCTTGATCGGTAAGTCTTTTTGCATTTTTTACATCGAAGTATGTGTTGTTGTTTAGCATCATCGTTGCCATCGGAGTCACTGTCTTCATTTTCACTGTGTTCTAGACTATCATTCTCTTGATCTCCATTCTCCAGCTTTGCACTACATAATGTACTTTCAATCTCATCAATATCTATTACTTCACTATCATCCCACCGCTCAAAATCATCATTTATTTCCATCTTTGCAAACTTGCATATAAAAATATATTTTATTTTTGCTGTTTACAAGTGTGACGTCACGTTTTTCAACAAGGTTGCGGCCAATGACGTCACGAAGTTTCATATCCATTTATTTTATTATCCATGATATAATAGAGGTCCACCCCCATATATCGAAGTGTGATGTTTGGATTTGAATTTTTGGCGTGGAAAATGTGTCTTGTTTGCCGATTTTTTGTATGATTTTATGTTTATATCAAGTCTCGTTTATTCGGTGAACTAAAACGGATCGTATTTTCGAAATAAAGCTCAATATTTGGTGAGTATTTTTATATTTTATAGCGATTTATATTTTATTTACACTTCAATTGATT